GATATTATATTGGTTTCTTGTAAAACATAAAATATGGTTCTCAACCTATACAAAATTGAATTAACTGTCTTGAAAGGTTGTAGTGTAATTTTAGATTTAGTTGATCTTGGCTAATGAATTACACTAGTACACTAAGAGTTTATTGAACGGACTTGTAGATGATTAATTTATTTTATACTGATCAAGTAAATAACAAGATATCTTATTGCGTACTCTTAATCCGTAAGATAATAATGGACACATGCATGCAGTAGATACTGCTTTGAATCACTAAAAAGTGAGATTTATTATACTAAATCAACAGTCTAACTAAGTTGGAGAGTAGTGTTATATGTGTGGTGTGATGCCCTATTATTTACGAGCATTGTCTCCTGGTGCTTTAGGTTCATAATGTTCCAAAAATGAACTCAAAAAGATTGTTATACTAAACCCTACATGTGGATTAAGTTCAAACATAATAATAAAGTTGAGTTGTACAAATATCATAAACAAGAAGTTAACTAATTAGACTGCCAGTAGTTAAACTAATTAACGAACATTATATCTTAAACATGAAAGGATAAATCGAACAGATAAATTTAGAGCATAAATATATGTAATTTCGGGGTTAAATAGGAAGTTCAATAATATTCCCTTAGTGAGATGGAATATTTTTCATATGGATTGGGTTTAGGTAGAACAGAACCTAAGTTACCTAATCTTATGGAGAGTCTTTACTTAACACGTCCTTAAGGTCCCTGCTATAACCTGTAAATACATCAAGTCCTTCTCATAAATCAATATAATCACACGCTGCAACAGACTTAAGAAAGAGGGGGAGAGAATTTGAGAAGTTTTAGGAAAGAGAGAGAAAGATAATGTTTTCTAAACACAATGTCTTCTTTCTTCTTTCCCAAAAGTTGATCAAGTGAGATTATGAAAACTCCAAGCACTGGTCGGCCACAAAGAAGAGCTTAGAGAGGTGTTGGAATATACAACATAAGACTTTAAGGTCACTTGGTACCCGTTTGTTTGATCCCGTAGACCGCGTATGTCGTCTCAGAGTTGACAAATTTTAAACGATAGAAATTCAATCCTAACTTTAGACCCGCTGCGCTTTGGATTATTTTTATAGATTTCAAACACACACAATAACTAACATATGTTCAGCGAACCCAATAGGACCCCAACGTCCCTCGATCTTCTCTTAGAACTTGTTTAGCTAAACAACCATGTGATCTAGTGTCGGGTCTTGCGAGCTAGTGATGCCACACTAGGTGAATCAATGGACCACTCTGGCTCATCATCTTCTCATCTAGTCACCATAGGGCGATCCACAGGTTACATTGTGACCTGTACCGCCATGTGGGCAGGTTGGGTGCGCACCGCCACCGCCTCTGCGATAACTTATCCAACTCAGCTCGGTTAATATGGATGAGTGGCTCATCGGGGAAGTTAGTTCGAGCTTCTACACAAACAAGGACTACTTCTTGTGTGCGGACGGGGGCCCGCGTACTTCCTTTGACGACCTACGACTGTCGTGGCGATCCCCGGTGTTAGCGAGGAGGGCGAGAGGGGTCTTCGAACCTACCCTCTTGGGTCAACACTGTTGGGGTCTGCATCGACGTCCTTGGGGCCGTTGGAGCTCATTAACTAGGGTTCTTGGTGACTCCCCACTAACGAGCCACTGCGGAGGTGGTCCCAACCTAAGAGGTCACTTTCCCAACCAAGTATCATTGTAACCCTTCTCCCAGTTACCTATTTCTTTCCCTACCATTGATATTGACTGAAACTTCGTACAAATTGTGAAAAATGCAATTCCATTCCAACTGTGGTAGAACTGAATTTCCCACAGACGACACTAATTTTTTAAAGATCTACTAAATATCTTTGATTCTAGATGGTCGAGTTCCTTTGGACCTTCGAATTGCACCTGACCTTTCACCAAAGTATCTGAACAATGCATCGGTGGGTTCAAAACGTGGAGCCTCAACGATCAAGTCAATCCCTCGTATTAGAACATAAGAATAGTTCTATATATACAAGTGGTTACCTTGTTGCCCAAAAGTTCTATATACTCAAGGAAACTTCGCAATCCTATCTTCATTAGATGTTATGCGGTGAATGCCTCTGTCGGGTCGACCGAGAGTCACATTATGGAACAACATACATATTTAGATGTAGCAACTCAATTACCTAGGTCTCGGGCCACCCATGTCATAGGTCGATAACTCGACCTAACGCACTCAGGACACCTACTTGTCCCACTAAACCTGGTCGACCTACTTAACCTACTTGTTCTAAGTTGAGATGAGGGAGCTCCGATCTAGAACAGAGCTACTCAAGAGCCCTTGTTCCAAACCGAGCTCTATTCTATATCACGATGAACACATTAAGTGTATCTATTAGTCAGATGTCAATATTTCATTATCGTTTAACACCATATTTGTTAATTTCCCACCGTGGGCAGAATAGCAACAATATATTTCAGATTAACTTGATAGTGACAAATCTCGTGAGACACGATTGACTAACTAAGCATAAAGTGTTAAATCGTATTTTTGTTTAATTTTTTATTTTGCTTTTCTGATTTATTATATATATATATATATTAGTTTTTATATTTGGGAGAATTTTATAGTTATATGGTTTCTTTTTATTATTTGGTTTCCTTCTCTTACTAGGTTTCTATTAGGAAAGAAGAGATAAGAAGGAAAAAAAGATTTTGGCAAATCAATTAAGAAGAAGAGAGGCAAGGGAAATACGTGAGCTTGGGAAGAAAAAAAGAAACATCACCAAATATTGGGCTTGGGGATCAAGCAAGAAAAAGACAAGCAACACATTAATTTGTGTGGTTTCTCAAGCTTCAGCATATGGGAATTTTGACAAGCAACTAGCAGGAGTACGAGTTGTGTTTTTTTGGAACAAAGGGCTGCGTGGTTTCATTGGGAATTTAAAGGAGCAGCTTGTTTTTTT